GTAAACGATGAGAATGAAAGTGCTAATGTGGGAGAAATAAATATGGATGAAATTGTGAGTGCCATTAAGAGTTTGAAAGTAGGTAAAGCAGCGGGATGTGATAGGATAACTTCTGAAATGCTAACAGAGGGTGGAGGTGTAATTGCAAGCCTGCTGTATCTACTTTTTAATAAGTGTTGGCGGTGCGGTCGTGTCCCGGGAGACTGGGCCAAGGCCGTAATTGTGCCACTATATAAAGGAAAAGGATCACAGCAGGAGTGCAAAAATTATCGCGGTATAAGCCTCCTAAGCGTAGTAGGAAAGTTGTATGCCAAGGTATTGATCGAAAGAGTGATGGATGTAACTGAGCGTAAAATCTGGGATGTGCAAGCGGGATTTCGAAAGGGAATGGGGTGTACGGATCAAGTCTTTTCGTTACGGTGCATTTCAGAGAAAGTGTTATCAAAGCACCAAAAGGTATTTTGTGCCTTTATAGACCTAGAAAAGGCTTATGACAGAGTGGTGAGGGATGAACTGTGGTCAACTCTGTCCATGTATGGGGTGGATAGCCACCTGATTCGGGCACTTAAATCCTTATATAAGGACTCGAGTGCCTGTGTCAGAATAAATGGGGACTACACGGAGTGGTTTGACATTAATCGCGGTGTTAGGCAAGGCTGTGTAGCATCTCCTTGGCTGTTCAACCTATTTATGGACAGTTGTTTGAACGACCTGAAAGTAGGAGAGCCTGGATTAAGGATGAATGACACAGTGATTAAAACATTGTTGTATGCCGACGACCAGGTGCTTGTTGCCTCGTCGGCCCAAGAATTACAACAAATGGTCACTGCTATGAGTGATGCATTTGAAAGGAAAGGTATGAAAATAAATGTGAACAAGACGAAAGTGTTGGTGATAGAAAGAAATGAGGTGATAACAGAATGTCAGGTAATGATAGGTGATGAAAAATTGGAACAAGTGAATGAATTTGTGTATCTGGGATCACTATTTACGAGAGATGGAAAGTGTGACGGGGATATTGAAAGGAGAGTGAAAGCGGGAAATAGTGTTAATGGTGCTTTACACTCTGTAATGTCGAGTAAAATAATATCCAGCAAAGCTCGACTTGCTGTAATGCAGTGTGTATTGACACCAACGCTTATGTATGGTAGTGAATCATGGGTGTGGCAGAAGAAGCATGAAAGCAGGATTAATGCGGTGGAAATGAGAGCCCTGAGAAGTATGTGTGGACTAAAATTGAGTGATCGAGTGAAAAATAGTGTTATTAGAGAGAGGTGTGGATTGAAAGACGATGTAGTGACAAGGATTGAAAAGGGAATGTTACGCTGGTTTGGACATGTAGAAAGGATGGATGAAAGTAGAGTAACGAAAGAAGTATACAGAGCGGATATGAATGGAGCCGTCGGTAGAGGGCGCCCTAGACGGACATATAGTGACCAGATTGGCGATATATTAAAGAAGGGCCAAATTAAAAGTACCCTTAACCGACGAGCATGCATGAAAAGATTGATGACTGTTAATGAAGCGAAAGAGGTATGTAAGAATCGTAGTAATTGGCGTTCCTTAGTCTCTGCCTACCCCCATGGGAGACAGGCGTGAAGTTATGTATGTATGTATGTATAACGAATGTATCATCATAAACCAATGACCTATTACCTCAGAACCATAATGTAAACAAACATAAAAATACCTTAAAACCACAAAAGGCAATAAAAGAAAGTGAAGACACAGATGATCTGATACAGTTTGCTTACGTAACAGGCTAACGTTTCAAAATGTTCTTCATTCTGGTCATATGGTCAAGTGAAAGATGTTGGTGCAAAACGGATGCATGGCGACGTGAGCTGCCGACTAATTTGACGGTCGGAGTACGCGTTACCATCCGGTGTACGCTGCCTCAAATTATGAACAGCTGCTTTGAGGATTTCTGTTACGTCAATATTGATATCATCGAGTTTCTTTTATTGAGGTTCTAATTCATACCAGGTTTTTAAGTTGCCTAATGTTACAGATTTTGCATCCAATAAAATGGGTATTGTTAGTCAAAATGCTGATTTAATATTTACAACAAACAAAAGCGCTGGCTGAAAGTATATCAACAGATCGCGTCAGATGATTGCTATTAATTTTTTTTTATGTAAGCTTTACCCTTTTATCCTATGACGTAGGTACATTTACAAACAAGTTCACATACACATGATACCCGAAACAACAATCTGTGGATCACACAAAGAGTTGTTCCGTGCGGGAATCAAACTCAAGACGTTGCGCGATTTGAACACTGTAAAAGATTTCTTAAGCTAAAACGAAATATCGTTTAGGTACTTAAAAAAGCCCAATTGTAGACCAAAAAATAATGGTCAATTTGTTATCACAGTAAAGTAAACTTGAATCCTAGCCTAGCTTCCTAAGAAGTCTAGTACTAGGAGGTCATAGACGTTCATAGGCCTTTTACTCCACACTATAAATAAATCAAGCTTCAAGTACAGACGTTAGTCGGAATCTATGTTTGTAGGTGTTTGCCGTCACGGCTTGCCCTAGTCCTTGAATAATTCTGCAAATCCTTTTGTGTAGAAGCTCATCGGGGGTTCATCAATACTGATTTTACTAATAAGTAACATTTTAACTGTCCACTTTTCCAAATTCTCTGCCAGTAGCCTAATTTATGCCATTAGGGTGCTCACTTTTTATTTTGTAATAGTGGCCAAAAGTAGGTTTTACATTTTTATCTCTTTTAGGAATATAACATGTTTTGTTATTGTATTTATGCGTTATGTAAAATATCCATTATAACTGTAAGGTCTTTGAAACTGGATGTCTGTGGACATTAGTATCGTCACTTTAAATGTACATACCTAAGTATAATGTTATCTATTCTTCAAAATTACTTAATTATGTTCTGGGACGGAAGTTGTGTTTTCGAAGTATTACCAACTAAACAAAAAATTAGACATTAAGTAAATAACAAAAACACTAAAAGTTTTTTTAGGTCTTGTGTAATTGAGTTCGAACTGAGGTAGGTGAAACAAAAAATACGCCTTGTCGATAAATCACCTAGGAAGAGACCTGGTCACTCTGTCTTCTTGAATTCGGACACGGAAGACTTCAGATCTAAATCTAAGTCGGATTCAAAGCATTGATAGAATCTAAATTTTACCGTGGGATTTTTTTTTAAGGGGGGAAAATCATCGAATGACTGCTCCCGCCTGGGTGAGACGGAAGGGAGTGTCAGACTCTTACTGCTTAAAACCACCCCGTTCCTTCTCCTGCTCGTCGAGCCGGAGCCTCGGTAACCCGTTAGATTCTCCGCGACTCCGAATCGGCAACAGCCCTTACTACCTATCGTGGGATTAAGTATGGATTCAGATAATAATTTAATTCAACAGTTTCGCTATGGCCTTGCACAATGTAAAAAATCTCGCGAAAGTATTAAAGCAAGGCCTATCACACTAAGTACCTAGTCCACAAGGAAGCACATTCCAACACCATAATCACATTGCATATAATTATTTAATTAATTTGAGTCCACAATAGTCGACCGCGAAACTGAGTTACCTACATAGATCTGAAAGAAGGTCTGGCCACACTTTCATTGATAGTTTAAAAGGACGGTCTGCCACGGCGTCTGCATATAAATCGGTCATTAGCTTGATTTATGGGAAGTTGAACGGATAGGTAGGAGTGTGGAATATGATTTGTTAATTAATTAGGTTTGTAGATAGCTTGATTACTGAAAATGAAAAGTTATTACATTTCATGTTTTATCTCTTTAAGGAGAAAAAACCCTGTAAATAAATAAAAAATTAAAAAAAAAAAAATCTCTTTAAGGAGAAGTTGCCGTGGCAGCTTAGTGGTTGTATTAAAGTTTATTTTTTCATTATAATATTAGCCTAAAAGTCGAAGCCTAATTCGAAGCCTTATAATCATATAATAGCTATTTGAGAACTCAGTACTGAATAAGGTCGGGGAATTAAAAATAATCATGATTCACTTCATAAATTATGTCTACTAAACTGATCTCATTCTTAATTTGAAGTGCCCGTTTCTTCTGCCTTGAGTGTCTATATTCATTAGTCATCTTGCCAGTTCGAAGCTTGGTTTAGTTTAATAGTTTATCAGACTTATCAGATTGAGGACTCTCTGACATTTCCAATATGGGCTTTTACCTATGTAAGTAATCATTTCCTTTTATCTTAATTTATTTAAACACAATTGAAAATAGTTTGGTAAAGGAACCTTTACTTTTTGAATTAAAAAATGGTGTATGGAGGAGAATCATTCAATGACTTTTCACTCCTTGGGTTAGGCAAGAGGGAGTGTCAGACTTTTCCACCACCCCGTCCGTACTTTTGCACTTCTAGCTGGATGCCTCGCATTCCTCGCAACTCGTTTATAAGGAGGAGAATCATTCAATGACTTCTTCCGCCTTTGATGAGGCGAGAGGGAGTGTCAGACTTTTCCACCACCCCATTACTGCTTCTACACTTCTAGCCGGAGGCTCCGCAACCCGTTAAGTCCTACGCGGCTCCGCAAGTTCTCCGCGGCTCCATAAAAATAGTTGTACCTATCTTCAGACTTTGATAAAAACCATAATACAATAGTGCAGCGATCAATACTCAAAAGCTTTATGTTGTCGTAACAGATTAGAAGTTAATAAAGAGGTAGGTAAAACTAAAGATAAACAAAATCCTAAGGTTGATTTTTAGGGTCGAGAGAAAGTAACAGACACACATCAGAAACAAAGCAATCGGTCAAGTTATGGTGTTAATTACCTACATCAACTTTTATTATAAGTATACATCGTGTCACAAATGAAATCAGAAATGAAACTGAGGACGCATGGACATGAGTTTAATTGATATTAAGTTGTAGGCGTCAAACTATCGCCTAGTTTGTATGCAGCGAGCGATGGGAGCGAAATCGGCCTGAATAGCTGCCGGTTACTGGCGGACCACTAATCAATCGAGGATTTTAATATGATTTACTGTTTATGTGTGACAATGGGAGTAGGTATTAGTTAAGTCTTATTAATCAATATCTAATAATCCATTTTTTGATTCTGAACTTTTCAATGGGCTTCTAAACTAGATACACTTACTTAACCTACCTATTTAAATAGGTAAATAGAGCAGTGGAGCTGATTCAAAGTGTATTTGCAAAATAAAGATAAAAATGATAGAATTTACAATATCATCCATATTTTTAAAGATAAAAACAAAAGGCATTACTTACAATATTATTATTTTATTTGCCGCTTAACATTCAGTAGAGAGCGCCATCTGTATAAACGGGTTTGAACTATCATAAATATTTATTTTTCTCGTATCACCTTTATCGGAATTACATATTGACAAATTTAGCTAAAATTAGATTTAATTTATTAGCCCTGAAACTTTTCTGCAAGAAAAGTCTGTTTAATTTTATTAGCCGTTTCAGAACGCAAGTTTCTACGAGATCTATGGCAAGATGTCTGCCTGACAGATAATGTCAATCACTGACGCACGTCATTCGACTTTTATCGAAATATCGCGATCGCGAGAAAACAGAATTCACCTCGTATTTCTATCTGCATACTATCATGCTAAAACTATGATACATTCATAACACAAAGCATTCCTTTAGACTTATTCTATTCTGTGTTAGTGAACTATAGTTTGTGAGTTCCGAATGATGGCAAATAATCGTATACCTTCGGGGCCGAATACGCCTGGGAGTCAACAGACTCCTACACAGCAAGGAATCAAGATATTTATACAGAGGGATTATTCCGAGGGCACTGCAGTAAAGTTCCAGACTCGTTTCCCGCCAGAACTGGAAGATCGAGTAAGTGAAAGTCATTTGTTTACGTGATGTTTCGAACCTTTGATCGTGGGCGCGTTCGTCAACATTGCAAACGTCTGTGACATCTACGAAATGATGTCAACTTGAATTTATCCTTGTTCTGTCGTGCAACTGACTATAAGACGTTCTTTCTTGCAGGAATGTAAAGTTTAACCATTTAGAAGTTGACTAAAATCGAGAACACACATTGTGAAACTGTGTTCCCTATTCATGTTAAAAGAGGTTGTTGCTATTGAGTTATTGAACTAAAAGTCATTCTCAGTACTAATACTTGCTAATTACAATAAATTAGTTGCATGTGACATTTTAAGATTTTTAAATCAATGACCTGTGCATTGATTATGCCAATAATGTCGAACAGCTGAGTGTGACCTACTAGAATATGAAATAATCATATTTGAACTTATGAAGCTGTAGTTGTGTTCAACTTAGTCACATGTGCTTTGTTTGCCGTTTAATTACCTGTTGTTGGTGAAAATATTAAAATGTAGTTGGTCTCGGTATACTTATTAGTACAGTATTAACTATTTATAGAATCCTAATAACTTATTTAGTTTTCTATTTCATTGTTTATTGGTTAAATTCTTGTAGATTTAAATTGTAGAAAATATTTCTTTACATACATAATACACAATTTACCTACATTGTAAACAGACACAAGCTATCTATAACATAAAGGTTGTCACAAATTACCTCTCCAATCGCTCTCCTTTTTGTAATAGAAACTTAAATACTACTAGGTCATGGTCACATGGCAATCTGACTAGCAGCCAATCTCAATAAACATTGAGAAGGTAACCGAAAATTTTAACATATTTTGAATAGTGTATGTTAAGTAGTTATCTATCTCTTGTAAAATCGACAAAGAGAATGAATTTTTGTGACATAAACTCACCTCTCGAAACTGCTACAACTTCTGTGAGCCATGACATACTGTAAATAAAACCATGAAAATACTGAAACATGAAAGTTCCTCTCATCATGACATAGAACTAATAACTAAAATATCAGTCTACAATAGCAATCAACAATACCAGTAAATCATAACACATAAACCACTATTTTGAACCTAAAGTTAGTACCTGTTGATTCATATTTAAATGCCACCCTCAAGTGACAAGACCTTCAAACAAATTGTTTTACATATTATCCTTTATACAGTTTGTATAGAAACAATAGTTGTTATTTCAATAATAATAACTTCTTACTGAGTGAATGGTTGACACAAACAATTTAGTTGTAAAATGTCTGTTTTGAAAATCATTTAGTTTTGCCTCGCTTTAACCTTGATATTATGCCAAAATCATGTTATTTTGATATGTTTACTGTGTTATTCATTAAGTGAACACATACTACCAAATACTTTAAGTTCAATTACAAGATCTGTTTAAATTTTTTTATGGGATAAGCGGGTAAATGAGCTGGATCACCTGATGGTAAGGAATCGGTATTGCCCATGGACACCCAGAACACCAAAGGCGTTTTTTTAGGGAGTAGGAATTAGAAAATTTGGATTGGGGAGATAGGGGAGGGGGGAGGTAATTTGTGTCAAGTGTTTGTAAATAGGTTTACTCACTTTAAAATGTAGATTGATCTGATATGATTACCAGGCGTGTCATTTTTTTAATTTATAAAATGCAGCTAACTAGGTAATTAGTTTTTAGTTTTTGCTGTGGTTATGTTATAAAACCAAGATTAGGTTTTGATAACCTATCTTACTTTTGTCCTTGTTCTGATATTTTTTGCTAACAACATGGTACAATTTTTTTATTTTATTTTATGACGATATGATATTGTCTTTTATAGTATAGTTACTCAAAATGTAACATACAATTGTATCACTACATAAATAACTTTAAGAAAGCTTATAATAATTTTTAAGACTGCTCATAATTTAGTCCTAATCAAATTACAAAAAGAAAACTAAACAATTCATTAACAGTACATCCTTGAACTTCTTATGTGAGTAATAAAATTATGTTGTCCGACTTATTGAATTAGCATCAAACATGATTCACAAAATAATGATTCACATTGATGCTAACTCAATAATTCATTATTTTATTAAGGTAGCTATTACGATTGTGGTCCAAATATGGTTAAAGTAATGGATATAGGCTCCTGTGGAATTTTATCTGATACCGGGAGAGGTTGGCTCAAGTTTGCATTTTTCCTTAAGATATTATATCCTTATGTTTTCCTTCTTCCTGATCATAATATATTGTTCCTATATGCACCTGTTTAATGTGGTTTATTTATATTTAACACAACTTGCAGACTGCATTGTTATTATTCTACATAGAAAACAGGCAAGACTTCATATTGTCTTAACTATGGAGATACGAAAACATGCTTTGTTTTTTTTTAATTAATTTAAAATGTTAATGTTAATGTTATGACACATCATAACTGAAATATTAACGTCATTACACAATAGTATATAATAAATAATTAATAATATTATTTATCAAAATTCCAGATAGATCGCCAAACCTTCGAGTATACAATGGAACGGCTGAACGAACACTTTGAAATGGCAGAGACAGCTGACTGCAGTACATACTGTGAAGGCTGCCTGGCCTGTCTTACTGCCTACTTCATATATATCTGCACCGAGACACATTATGAAAAGGTATGTTGATAGTAAATCATTATCCACTTTATTCTGGGACTGTAGAGTTATAGAGTCAAGTTCTCCTTAACCATCTGATATATGAAACAGAATTGTATATCAGATACTAGAAAAAACATGGTGTCTCATGTGGGTCCTTGTTCATGGGACACTACGGGCTAAAATTCTATACACAGAAGAAATAAAACAAATATTATGGCATAATTTGACTGAACGTTTGGTACAGCAATGCTGCATCTTTTAATCCGAATTGTAATCAAACGCAGGCCAAGTATAAAAAATATCATCATCATTATCAACAGCCGAAAGACATCCACTACAGCTCTAGTTCGTAGCAAGTTGGAAACTAGCTCGTGTGTGTGGAACCCACACGAAAGTACTTACGCCCTACTCTTAGAAAAAGTCCAAAAAGCTTTCCTTAGAAACTTGTACAAGCGACTGCACGGTTACTATCCTTACCTCTATCCGACAAAATTTTTATTGGGTAGTCTTGGTTACAACTCCCTGGAGGTAAGGAGGGCAAGAAACCAACTTGCAGTAGCCTGTAAAACTTTCCGTGGCACTATTGATGCTCCAGATCTACTGGAGTCATTATCGCGCTTTTACGTCCCAGATAACTATTGCCGGGGTAAAAAGCACAGGCTATTTGCCGTGCCCTCATGTCGTACCGTCGCACGCGCTAATTCACCTGTTCCTCGCACTCTGGCCGCGCTCAATGGTCTCCTGGATTCCAATCCAACTAGTGATCTGTTTGCGGACGGATGGAAGGAGATTTTATCAGAATGCTTGAAGTACTGCGAGAGAAACTCATGAATGGTGTTAACCCTTGTTTTAACTAAGTTTTACTTTTCTTTTGTTTGTGTTTTATTGTTGTATCAGTTACTGTTATTGGATTTTTATGCCGTTGTGACTGTTAAAAATAAATAAATAAAATAAATAAATACAGTACAAATATAAAAAAAAATTCACTCTCCCTAATTTTTATTACCATCAAAGAAAAAATTTCTTCAGTGTTTCTATTGTTTTTATAATCAACAACATTTTATTCGTCATTCGCTTAACAATCACCCTCCATCACAACATCACATGTTAATCCGAACTGTCATTTCAAAATTAATCAATGTAATTTGAATTTAAATGCTATGAAATTATCCTTTATTTTGCCATAATTTAGCAACAAGGCTATCATTAGAGATGAACGCAAAATATTGCGTGTCATGTACTACGCGTAAACTGTAATCAAATAAAATTATATGTAAGGGAAAATCGCTATTGTTACTAACTATGAGTTGCCAGCTAATTTAAACATAAATTGTTTTGCTGTACTGAAAGAAAAAAGATAGAAAAACTCAGTGTATGACTAATGAAACAATCTTTAGTTTTATCCGATGGTGTGTAGTCCGAATCTTGATATTTATTCATTTGTTAGAAATGTTGTAAGTTACAAAAGCTATTTTCTTTCAATTTTCTTCTGTGTAGTGTAGTTAATCTCACAAATAATAATAATTGCTTCATTATCTTTGTGTTGTTAAGTCTCCACTAATCGCAATCACATCAACTACATTTTTATTACACCAAAATCCCTTTACAGAGTAACTTCTAATTTGCACTTACCCCATTTTACTGTATTGCATTTTCTATTTTAAACTTTTGCTTCTAATAAATCAAATTTCATGGAAAACGTTGCGATGGTTGATACCAACCGTAATTACGGTGGAACACGCCATCGACAGGTCGATTACCAACTAGGGCAAAATCTAGCTATTACTCATAAGTATTGCATAATTTCTATATTGTATTTTCAATTCATTACTTTTAATTAAGATAAAATATACTAAAGCAAAATTTCGTCTGTTTGATGAAACTCAAAACTATTGCATGCATTTTTATATGGTTTCCGCTAGTGGATGGAGTGACGGTAAATGGAGTAATTCTTTATAATCTTTTTTTTCATCCACGAAATACTACTACACAAACTACTTATAGCCATTTAGTAACTTCTAAGACATCATTATTAACTTGTATTTATTCTTCTTCCACAGCACCTAAGGAAAGTATCAAAATTCATAGCGACACAAAACGAAAGAGTTTACAATCCGCGCGGGATTCACATCACAGACCCAATCCTAAGGGGGCTACGGGTCATAGAGATCACTGTCATTGACGTACCGAACTGTCAAAGTCCGACTGGCAACTCGAACAATCAAATGAGGCATACATGACCACCACAGGAAAATAGGGAGTTCTTCATGTAACCAACAAGACTCTTCTTGATGTAAGGATTTGGCTCTTATCCGGGAAAATAAGGTTTGTTTTTCTGATTACAAACGTCAAAACAATGTTTGACAGCTGTCATTAATTTGTGACGTTTAATTTTAGGATAGTATTTTTGACAGCTGGTTGTTTTGATAATGTGACACCTAATTTACTAATTAGTTGACTTTATTATATTCCCATTATGTGATTACATTTATTTTTAAAATCATTTGTGTGTTTTGACGTCTCAGTACCTATCAGATTTTCAAAACTGCCGAATATAAAGTCTCCGATTGTTTTCCATAATTAGATAGTGGAATTTGGGAGTGTTTTCAATATCTTCAAATCTCCTCTTTCTGAAAATATGATATAGCATTTCAAGACAAATTAAGCTACATGCAGTTTTAACTTTTAGAACTATCTAAAAGTAATGGAGACCTAGTGATTGTCAAAAATATAAAACGACACAATTAAATGAAATTACATAAAGGGAAATAAAGCGCTGTTATCTGATGGAAATAATATCTAATATTTGGTTGACTCATAGCTTAGATAGCCAACATTACATGCAATATTATTCTTTTTGACGTATCTGACAGATTGCGTTATCTAAGTATAAACAAGAATTACTTACGTTTATTTTCCATATAAAATACATAAGAAAAAAATATGAGAGCTGAATCCGTATGTCATCGAGATGTAATTTTCTACAAAATATTTATAAATATAGGCTCTTTTTCAATATCTTTAAAGTCGTAGATTGTATAAAATGTAGATAGGACCACCGTGTGGTTTTGTAATGAACGTAATTTTTATACCTAGCTGGATTGTTTGAAGTCTAGGTCACATGGGAAGAATTAAAAAGTAATGTTGACATTAAAAAAGCATATTGTACACGTATGTTTTATACAAATGTCTATAATTAAGTATGATACCATCATTTGTTCATTTTAATCATTTTACTGTATATTATTTTTATGGACACACTGTAGATGTTTGTTATACAGGTGTGTATAAAAATGTCATCAAACTTATTTTAGTTGTATAAAATGGCCATTAATGTTTCAGTTTCAAAATCGTTATATTTTGTCTCATTTGGATGTAAAAATCATTACTTTTTAATCCCCTTCCTATAGTAGACCTCACCAATTAATTAAGTACACATCAAGACTAAAAAATTGACTCAATTTTGATCGAATGACTGATTTTATTTAATTTGTTTCGTTAGCATGACAGAACTCCTTTTGCCAAATTGTTCTTCCAAGTGGAGAATGTTCGAGAATGTTTCATAATTGATGTTTTTAAGACTTTGGTGGCTTATTTGCTTAGTTTAGGTAATGTACAGACGGACAATATATCAACGTACTTTAATTTGTCAAGTTTATTTAGATGGTTTTAACTTTATGATTTTGTAGTTTTGAGTGCTTCTCTGATCGAGTGTCGAGGGTCAGACAAGGTTTTTTGATTCTCAGGCCAGGAAAAATATTCAAATAAGACACCTATTGAGATTTTCGGTTTTCTAAATTTCCCAGGAACTGGAATTGGGCCTGGTGTATGGCAACACGACTCGTCCCCTAGGACTAGGCCCCTAGTAATAGGCTACATGGAGCTTATAACATAAGTGATAAAAATAATATTACATTTTATATAAACACCTCGACCTCCTCCAGAGAACAAAATATGTGACATCATCAATATAATGTTATTTATTAGATTAAATAACTTTGACAGATTATAATAAAGTGATATATATAAACGTCTGTACTTCTATGTATATGGCTTGAGATTCTTGCTGTAAAATGTACGAAGAACAAATCTAATTTGTTTTAAAGTATTAATCAATTTGACGACCTGATAAAGGTAATAGGGAGTGGATGGATCCAGGTCACTCCCAACCAGTCTATATTGAAGTCAATACAGAGAGCCTATGTTCAGCAATGGACGTTTCGTAGCTGATATGATGAAGACTTTAGTATACTATCATCACTAAAAATTTACAGTCTACAAAAGAGAAATTTACCATAATGAACCACAAAACATGAGATTCCATTACTGGACTATGACCACAAATGGGGGGTTTGTCATAATCTTGGCACTCGCTTGGCAAGCAGAGTAGAGATCGCAGTTATTAAGCCTAAACTGCCGACAAAAACTGTTAAAGGTTAATCCCTCCGCTAGCGTCCGCCATCACTGTCTAACACAGCAACCAATGTGTTAATAGATTACAGAATCGATATTTCCTATCCACCTTTTTTCAGAACTCATTGACATAAATATACAAATACTTTTAAAAAGGGATGAACAACAATTTCAAGTCACAAAATGTTTGTATACGATGCGATTACACAGCAAGATAACTCGAGTCGATTGCATATATAGGTGAATGATAAATGATATATAAATATCATTATAGAAATTATTATTATTATATTACATAATGTATATCGTATCATTTGATGTAAGAGGTTTTCAATGCTTGTGTTTATCTACTTTCTGAAAGGATAATAATTGTTTTAATAATAACCATCGTGAGACATATTAAATTAACTTCACCGGTGTCCGCACATCTATTGTTCTTTAATTGTGTCTATAATGACGGTACTCAAAGGGTTAATATCGGGGGTTACTCACGTGAATATACTGAGATAAGCTTTACTAGTCTAGTAGCTCTATAATAGAAAGGAGGTAGGGAGCTCTCACGAGGAAGAACCCCTCTGTGGTTCGAAACTAGTGGAGCTTTTCTCAGTATTAACCCGCGATTTTTAGTTAATTTAGGATAATAATTAGCTAAATACTGTCTACGATCGTTGTTATATTCCCGACACTTGACAGGCATGTTGGAGATTGCTGTGTAAATAGTTCAGGTCTATCAGAGGTGATCGTTGATAAAATCTCCGCCCTTGGCAGATAAGTTGGAGATATTGCGATTCGAAAGGTTTAGATGTATCACGTAGCACTGCGGACCGGGCTCTGTTAAATGTGTAGTCCGTTATTCGATTCTTATGATACCCACGAAAAGAGCCAAGGTGGTTTTACAGTGATCTTTAGAAGAAATTGTTTTACCTTTCAGAATGTAGGTTCAGTCTTAGTTCATGTGGATATAAATATATACTTTTTTAAATGTATAAAATAGTTAATAGTCCAGTTATACGCCATTCCATATTGTTAATATACTTATTTTTAAATGATATTTAAAATAAGTTCGTAGTATAATATTTTTCACCGATACAAAACTTGATTATTTATTAATTAAGACTATTTTTAAGATCCTATGAAATCCCCAGTATTTGCAAAATCCTTTGTCATCTAAATTTCAACTTTAACCACATGGACTAAGACTCATTATTGTGATTAAGTTATAAGACCCGTAGACTAGCCTAACAAATTGTGGTTTGACAAAATCTATGTTGATAGTGTTCTTTTTTAATTTAAATTAATTATGACCCTCTTTGGCCCCTTGTTATATTTATCTGTTGTATTTTAATTAGTTATAGGATTTATATATTATGTCGCAGTCAAGTAGCTTAAAAACCCATTCAATTAACTGCCTGGACTGTTTAATATATGATGTCGCAGTACAATAAAATTCTGGTAGGTCGATTTCAACCTAACCTACTGTTTTGGTAGCAATGCTGTTTAAATGGCAACCCCTTCTCACTTAGATCGACGGTCTGAACTGAATTCAGCCACCCAATTAAATGGCTAATAATTTAGGCCGTTAGTTAAATGGCTAATCAAGCTATCTGGCTGCGACATAATACATGTTGTCTAATAGGAATTATATATAATGAAACTATTCACTAATTTTACTTGTAACATACTATTTATGGTTGGTTTTAAGTAGTGCGAGTCGATTCTATCATCTGTATTGTTTTATATTGTATATAAAAATAGCTCTAAAGGGCTTTTTATTGTGTATAGTTATCTAACTATACAGTTTCGTCTGTGGTGTGATGAGAATAAGGTTTGAAATTGCTTGACGTGTGACCTTAAATGTCGAATGCGTATACTTGTTTGACTTCATATTTGTATAAATATAGTAAGATATCGTTGCTTTACTGTGTCTATGTTTGTGGTAGACAAAATTAAGCTGTTTTTCGATGTGTCAGAGAAAATGATAGCACTTATTAGTTAAGCAAGCAATTGTGTGAGTTTTTAAAATCTTATGAGTTAAATTGGTAGTAGTTTATCCACCGTGGCCTGTATTACATTTAATAGGTATATCATATCGTAAAATATTGTACTACATATTGCTTTATATAATTTTCCGAAGATAATAATATTAATCTTGACTGCCTGATTGGCCGAGTGGTCGCAAGTGCGACTGCCGGGCAAGAGGTCTCGGGTTCGATTCCCGGGTCGGGCAGTGTTATCTCAGTAGTAGTCATGTGACCGTATATGACAATAGGTTCATTCCTATTACATGGGACTCATAACATAAATAGTGAAAAGTAGGTGTTACATTGTACAGTGACATTGAGTGCACCTCTGCCTACCCCTTCGGGAATAAAAGGCCTGATAAAAAGAGATCTTCACAAACGATTGGTTTTTTCTAGCAGTTTCGCCCTTTGCTGGGGCTTTATTTACTAGAATGACTCTTATTCGTATTAAATGTCCCCATATACCCCCCATACCAACGATATTGTATAATAGTTTTGTGACAAAAACGACACTTCTCATAATGAGAATAAACTTATTTGATAACCATGCCTACATAGGTCAGTGGATAAATTACTACCAATTATAGAGTATTTAGTACTGTGTCGTACTAAACAATGACGGACTTAGATAAAATCACAATTTATAATTATTTTAACGTAAATGACAAGTCATGTGTAGATTTTAAATTCTTTTATTTTTATGTCAAACATACAGGTTTTACTCAGTTTCTTTTTTAAATTTTTTTCTCTTTTATTCTGGAACAAAATTTTAGTTTAATGTTTTTATTTCGGTTAAAACTAAATAATTAATATTAATAATGATTTTATCATGATTTTTGTGTCTTTAAACTCAACGTTTGTCTAGTTTACTTATAAAGCCGCGTGTCAAACGGACGGATCCGTGTGATATGACTTGTATAGTTGGGCATTTATTTAATATTTATTATTATGTCATAGTGTAGGATATGTTTTCGTAATTTTAATATTAATTGTTGTATTTATCGCTTCAGTTACATGATTAAAACCTGCCCTGAAAGTCTCTGACATTGATTGACAGAATTCGGTGGAATTTGAACTTTATTGCTAAATTATAAAGTTGAA